GATTGAATATAATTTCATATTGTATACAAAGTAACATGAATAGGACAATTTTCAGTCTACCGCAAGTACTACATTATAATATTACTTATGTATACATCATGCGTTAGGTAAAATATTACTTATAACTGAATGCTGTGTGGTCATTTTTGTCTAGATCGAACTACAAACACAATCCTCAACTCCAATATTAACCTTCTTCAAAACGATTGGGGCATAAATAAAGAGTGATATATACCATATATCCTAATCCATGGATAATACAGTATGATATTTTGGTGAGATGGAAGAACTCTCTTACCATCTCTGCTTAAATTACGTGTATGTTGTCGGCTAAAAAAAAAAGAGGATATTCTCGCTTGGAAACATTCTTCGGGGCACATTTCGGATAACCGGAACACCAGTATACCATTAAACAAGACAAATTGAATTACTCTTGGAAATGGGAGGGCTCTTTGGACGTAGGATATATACAGACAAACCTCTCGAGGGTAAAATGTCGCTTCGAGTGACTAATACTTGAAATAATTTACTTCAAGTCAACTGCTGTGAAAAGTTACACTGGCGAGATAATAATAATAATAAAACAATGATGGAGGGAGGGGGAAGAAAAACGAAACATAACAGAATGAGATGAAAAAATAACTCATCGTGTGCACGGTAAACGTTTCAACGATGAAACAGCACGGATGTATCTGAATTATTGCTTCGGTTGTTACACGGACGTTTGGATTGGAAAAATATTTCATTTTTAAAAACTGCACGTAGTAAAAGGTGTTTCGCGTTTAACGAGCCATTATTATTTTTTTAATTTTTGTCTTTCATAATTTCGTTTTCCGCGGACTTGGAGCACTGTGCTCGAGAGAAGTTTTCGTACGGTACACGGACAAAGTGGACGAAGAACGGTGACGATGAATTCACTTACCAAAATATATTCTGCCAAACGTGCTGCTTTCCTGAGTGAATCCCGTCAGTTTGTTTACTATACGGCACGTATAGCTGTGCCTCAAGTCATTTTCGTCCACGTTGGCTATGCGCAATTGTCCAGTTTTCGGTATCATGATGATCTTCGAATCTAAGAAAACATAAATACACACACATATATATATATAAAAATCTCGTGTCACAGTGTTTATGACCATACTCCTCCAAAACGGCTAAACCGATTTCAATGAAATTTTTTATATACATTTGATAGGTCTGCGAATAGGTTTTTATACATTTTTTATACTCCTACTCCTAAGTGCTATAGTTTAATAAATCGTAGATTAATTTAATAGCTAGTCAGCTAGTATATATATATATATATAAAATATTGCGAAAAGTATTATTCGAAACTCACCCAACAGACGACCGCGTTTGCTATACGAACAACTATATTCGTATTTACATTTTAAGACTAATTATCCGTGAAATTGTTGGCTAATTAGTAACATAATTTTACTGTGTGGCCATGTGATCGAGGTGTTACGCGCTAGTTACATAACCAATACAACGGCACGCAGATGTTTTAATGAAAAATAAAAATACAAATCTAATGAAAAAAATGTCCAAATCCGGGTTAATTAGTTTTTGAAATATCTAATAATGAAAAATAAATAAATAAAATGTTCTATCTAGATTAGAAAATAGTAAAAAAACATTTAAATTCATTCAAATAATGTATTATTCCTAACGCGTTAACTTTTCAACTAACGGATATGTTTTATATTTTTTAATAGTTTATATAATTTCTTAAAAAAAAAAAAAAAAAAAGTAAAACTCGAAATTAAATTTTGATATTGGACTAAAAATTGTTTTTGTCTAAATTATAAACCACATAATTATAGTGTACTGACTTTTGTATTATTTTTTTTATTAAATAATTTACCGTTTGAGTTCAAACTTCTTAACTTATTTAGTTGACATAAAAGGTTTAATTATAAATTGTACCTATTCAAATCAAATATTATACAAAGACAATTTCAACAGTATATATTTTCGTACACTATTATGTAAATTGATGGTCTATATAATATTTTACACGTAATGTTCAAAAGTTTCGAGGACTATAATTATTAGATACAAATTAAGGTACAAAATTAATTAGACGCTGCAAAAAAAAAAAAAAAAAAAACGTAAATTGCTAATTCTATTTAAACAATTTTGAACTATAAGAATAGTGAGAAGAAAAAAATCAAATTAACAAAAAGTGAACTTTTTTGAAAATAATTTACAATTCAAATGACCTTATTCATTTGTGTTGCCAAAACTTTTTTCGATATAATTATTACTGACTTACTATGCAACGGTGTTTAAATATTTTACACGTTGCACAACGTGACAAAGTAACGAATTTTGTTGAATTTAAAAACAAATGGTCACACAAAAAATATTTTCATTTATAATTCATGAGGGAGTGATTTGAAAATTGTGAAAAAACGTAAATTTATGAAATTATCAATTAAAATATATTAAAATGTTGGAAAAGTTATAACAAATGTCTTACTATTGTTTGACAAAAATAATATGATACAAGTATCTATATACTGTATAATATGTAATTATTATAATTTTTCAAATGTGTTCCGTAACGAGTTAGAATTCGTAATTTATGTTAATCGAGATAATTTGAAAAATGTGTCTACATATTTGTACTGCGATATCGTTAACTGCTATGAGTATATAATTTTTCTTCATATAAACTTTAATTTCCTCGCGTCCAAAGTTTTGTACATATGTTGATTTATCTTTTACTAGATATTTGAATAACATTACGTTTCTATATAATATAGTATACGATTGTACAAATTAGTTATTGAGCTTTAATTTATATCGTATCGATACTAAACCGTAAAATATAAGAAAATAAATAGTTGGTTCATGAATACTTAAAATATTTTTTAATTTTAAGTAATTTATATGTTCTTATTATAGTTAAAAAATTAACAGCGCTATGTTGTTTATATATTGCACAAAATTGATATGTCTATAAAAAGTAAACGTTTATATTAAAAATAAAATAAAATAGTGTTAAAACTTAATTCCTTCGATATTTTTAGGTGTTGAATATTTTTAAATACTATTCAATCTAATCATACTATGTCATATTTAAAATTGACCAATAATAATGATTTACTATATAATATAAATGTTTTATAAACTTGATTCTAAATATTTTAGGTTGATATTTTAATTGATGAGAAATTATATAATGACAAGAAAGGAAATAAAATAATAATTTACAATAACTAATATTTATAAAAAAGTGTATTTTATTTATTCATTGTAACGGAATTAAATATTTTCAACATTTTCTATAATAAATTCAATAAATTGATAATTCTATTTATAATACTATTAATATTTAAAACTGGATTGACGGACTAGTATATCTGTATACAAAAAAATTAAATTCACAATTTGTTTGACTTTTATGATTAAAAACAATTTATTTTACATTCGAATTAAAAAATGAAATGCATTTTTACGTGCTTTTCTAGAGGAATTAGCTAATCCATTATTTCTAAGATAAATCCGTATAATTTTATTTATAAATTATGTGTACACTTTGAACGTTGATACACTATTATTTCATCCGCACTTCAACACCAATTATTGTAAAAATAAATTAAATTAACTAATTCTCAGCGCATGTATATTATAATGTTTCAATAATAGTTTTTGAAATAAAGCCATTTTCATATAAAATACAGAATCAAAAAGGATATAAAAGGTTCCTTTTTAATTTTATATTAAATAAAGTATCCCATTAACTAGATTCGTTGTGTTTAACATTCAAAAGCTAACGGAAAAAAAGATAAAGTTATTAAGAGTATGAAAGCATAATAATATTTAGTATGATTCTCATAACTACGTTAATAACATCTTTACCATATCCATAACGATTTTATAAATAAGCCAATAAAAATGCATTAAGGTCGTTATCTTTTTCCAGATTAATACTATTTGTTTAAATAAGAATTCGTATATTATGTAATGTAAATGATGTTATATTTCATTTTAATTATTCAATTGATCTTAATTATTAGGTGTTCTGAATATATATATTAAAACAAAGTAAAAAATAATGTATCTTTAACTGATTGTTAACATTAGTCAAAATATAATTCTTGAAAATTCGAATTAAAATAATATATTTGGAAATTCTTAAAAATATTCATAACAAACCAGGATTAAATTTATATAAAAATTGACCAAGCTTAATCAAAATTATAATTTAAATAAATATCTAAAATACGTATCCGAGAAAAAAAAAGCATACAATGAAAAAAGTATCAAAAGTATGTGTTTTATCATTGAACAGCAAATGTAATATTATTATTTGGAAATACTTCCATTGCATACGAAATATACGTAATTCACGCTATATTTATATTTTAAATTTGATCGTGAACAATTGCTGTTTTACTCTTTGTATAAACTCGATAATAGTAATAAAATTATTGCATCAGAAGTCAAATTATAAGTGATATTTGGTGTAACATAAAATATTACAATAATATAATTTTACTTATTATTTTTAAAACATATTGAGCTTAATTGAAAGAATTTTGTTTGAGATGTAAAATTGACATGGTTAAATATATTATCAAATTTTATTGAAATGTACTAAGAATTAATAAAATAATATGTTATTATAGTTTATATAATTATTAGTTTAAATACGCAAACGAAGAAAATATGATTTCGATTTATATTTCTAAATACTTAATTTATGAAAATTAATATCCTGTAAAATACATTTTTCAAAATCAAAATATTTTTCCATATTGAAAAATTAAAAGGTAAATAAAATATTTACTTAGAAAACCATCATAGTCCAATGTCCAATATTTTTGACTTATAACAGTATAAATTTGATTTACAATATAAACATGTTTTTAGATTAATAAAAAAAAATAAATAATAAATATTAGAATATTCAAATAATCTTGGTTTTTTTCACAAAAATTTAAATTTGTATTATATACTCGAAGAAGTGAAAAGTTATGCTAAAATGTACTGATCAGTGAATTTTGAAAAATAAATATCAGCACTATTATTTTGTTCTGGATAATTATACTATGATTCTAAGAGTGGAGCTTATTTACAGATAAAGTGTTTTAGTTATGAGCCTGAAAATATTTTTTTCTTTTTTAATACAAACATTCGGTAAAATAAGTCTTATTTAACAGTAAAGAGGAAGAACATTTGTTTCAAAAGTCAATCTTATTATTTATTCATTATAATAATTCGATGATCAGTAGTTCCACAATAATTGAATCGCAGAAAGATACTTGTGACAGAAAGGAAAAATATTGACCGAAGAATTTTCCAACTTTCACTAAACCGAATATTTTAAACTGGATGATAAAATATAAAATATATAAATGGTATTTACTATCCGTACGGTGTATATTATATAAACTGCAAGTTGTTGAATAACATGATGCATAAAACAAAATCACATTCAGGTATGGTAAATTGTAGCACCGAAGGCTACCTCAGTATCAAATGTATATAATTATAGTCGCCGTGGGATTTTTAGTCCAGCGAAAAAGCGACGGAGCATTGCGAGTATGTTAAAAGAAAATAGTATATAATAACTATAGAGCCGTGTTAAATAAAAATAGAACAACGAAACCCTATCACTGTTTACGTACACTTTTGTGCCAAAATAAAGTAACTCACATCACTTGTACTGCATTACAATGAAATTCGTTTCAATGCAATTTATACCGCGTAGACAGTGACGGCAAAAACTGTGTCAACGCCTAAGTCATCGATGACTTCTACACAATATAGTTATCAAGATCCATACCCACCCGAAACCTCGGTGTTACTGTAATGTGTCTTGTTAGTACAATGAATACCAAAACGTCACTGTGGAACTCAAACGTTTTCAAAATTCTGGTAATTAGTTTGATAAATTAAACGATTGTGTACGAAGATTTTTTCGTATCGATATTACTTTTGATAATTAGAAATAATTTTCTTTATGTTTCCGTACATAAACATGAGTGAAATTAGATACGATTGTGAGTGAAGCAAAGGTATATGTCTGTGTTTTATTAATTTTTTTTTCTTTGTGTATCTGCGTAGACGATTTCGACTGAAATAATTTCTCCGACCATTATCGAATAAGAAATAAAATCTATGAAAGAGTTCTAGTTCATTTTTTTAGAAGTTAATTTTATCAACGGTTTTTTTGAATAATTAAGAAAAATAGAGTAAAGTTACAAAGATCCTATAACCGGGATCAAACCTTCATCAGATATTATTTTGCCATGGCCTTTTTTTTTTTTTGCATCAGTGTAAACAATCTCGACCAAAAAGGTTGCTTGGATAATCATAACCATAGGCTGCTAGTTGTATACACTTTTAAATGAGCTATTTCGAAAACATCCCAACAGTTTTCTTAATAGTTGCGAAAAACTAACGAAAAGTTATAAAAAAAAAAAAATTATAGAAAAATATATAGCATACCGGGTTAGGTTATTAAGGTTAGGGTACTCAAAAAATAGTGTTACTAGAATGATAATAATGATGTAGACTTGAAATTTTCACTAAAAGCTCGTATAACCATTTTCTATAGATGGTATGATATTAAAAAGATTATTTTTTTCCATATTTTCTAATTTTGGTTTGACTACAGCTTTTGAAATTTAAATATGAGATACTTCTCATTTATTTATATTTAATTTCTTCATAAAAAAAAAAATTGAGCTTTGTTTAAGGATTCAATTTTTTTAAGAGCAATCGTGCATTGGTTTAAAGTTTAAAAGACTAACATTGCATTATCATTCGTTCATATTTTATTTTTGACGGGCCTTTCAACCTTTAATAGTATATGCATTTCATATTTTTTCTTATTTCCCACTCACTTATCTATAATTTTGTGCATAATAATTTTGGACCGCAATCTTTTTTCACATTTACGTATATAACCATGGTATACAATCCTAAACTCACCGATTTCCCACGACGGAAAGATGTTGAATACTCCGTCTTGCACCCATGAAGTGATCGCCACCGATTCGGGCAGCGCGTCATTCTCGTTGTAACTAACCCCCGGTATGTGACAGTTGAATACGGCCACGTTACCGGGCATCGTCACCGTGTCCCTGACGATAGGTTCGAAGTTCCGTATCACTTCTGTAATAGAAAAAAAAAATCGTGTGTTTAATCCATTCGATTGCCGTAATTTTCGTTCGCTAGCGCCGGTCCAATTATGGAATTAAATATGTCGTAAGCATTCCCTACGTAGTGGTTCTCGGCGGGATCGATATCGCCCTTCAACGGCCGTCGAAGGAACGTTGCAGATGAAGAATATTTTTCTTCTCTGTAGAAGGGAGGGAAGGTCAGCTTTGGAAAAAAAATGACAATGATAATGTACAGCAATACAAAAAAGTGGAAACTAATTAATAAAAATTCTAGAGGAAAGGAGGGAGGGGGAATAATCGCAGAAGTGTAGCGTGTTAGGCAAAATATACGAATAAAACAGATTTACAACAACGCGTCGTATAATGGAACAATAAAAATGCAAGCTTGTAACATCCAACATTGACTCCAACTGGAATAGGTTCACATGAACGCGCGACGTAATGCGTGTTTACATACGATAACGTGTGTTGAAAATGGAAAACACTGCCCCGAGAAAAAAAATCGGAAGAGTTAATCTTTTATCAAAACATAGTTGACTAAAAACTAATAATGTCGATGCAAACAAGTCGTTCGCACGGCTCTTATCCGTTTTCATGAATCGAACACGAAAGACAAGTAATGCCATTCTTTCCAATTCCATTTTTGCAGTAGACGAGCATGCAAACAAAAAAATATTTATTTTTTTTAATGCGTATTGTTTTTTCAAGCCGTTCATTTTTGTTTAAATTCAGAAAACGTGCCAGGGTGTACGGTGTACATTTTACGGGCACTTAACATTTATGTTTCAATCGTGTGATTTTCGCTTTTATCGGACGTCGAGGATAACAATAAATGGATTCGTTATCCAACGCATTCCCGTCTATAGACGGTGGTATATTATATAAATACGTTTCGCTGCGCTGTCCGCAGTATATATAGATAGCGGTTATTGCGAACGGTATATTATTATTGTCTCTCGAACACGTACACGTATACTGTATTGTGCGTAGAGGTACATACATAACAATAATCGTACCCCGCCGACGTAGTTGTTTGATTTGTATTCTTTCTGGTTTTACGCGCCGGAGAAAACGATATTTTTATTAATACGAAACGTGACGATACTCCGGGGACATTGAAAAACGGTTATTTAACCCGTTTACCGCGGTACACACGTCTTAACAACGCGATACACGTGGATAAATGGTGATGCGACGAAGAGTGCGACAAAAGTTGGAATTTCCTAGAGCAAAATATTTCGCCACACTCGTTTATCACGTAAAATGTCTTCTAACAATCTCGTTTTTTGGCACCAAAGCACGTATAAGATGAAGTGTTCCAAGAAAACGGGATGTGCGAGCCATTATTTTTCAACGAAGTAATACTTGTGTACATATATATAATAATAAAAATAAAAATTCACTACGATGTTACACATATGTTTTAGTTATTTAACGTGGTAGGTACTTTTTAATAATGTAACCTTCCGATTTGTAGAGTATCTGAAAGTGCGACGACAAGAATACATAGAACACGATACCGTTTCAAACACTAGACACTCGAAATGAGAAGAAAACAAATAATTATAAACCTATTCTAGTAACGTTTCGAACATTTCATACGTGATTTTATCATAACAAGTATGTGAGAATACTAATACCGTGTACACAATAAAAGAAGATACACTTATAAAAAATGTATTTGAATATTAAGAACGATATATTATACATTTTAATTTAACTGAATGCATTTAACCAGTGGCGTTCTCAAGAATTTTCAATGGGGGGGGGCTCTGAAAATGTACTAGAATACAAAAGTGGAGGGCTCTGCCCCCACACACCCCATTATCATAATAATTAAAAATTTTGTACTGTTTTAAAAAACCAAATTATCACAAATTATCACCAAATTGTTAAATTGATAGCGCGGTGGTGTCATAGAACATGTTCTATGGTCGTGCTCCAATCCAACTTGATAACCGTGATACTGGTAACTAATGATGTATAAACCACTAAATTATAATCAATAAAATCAATAACCAATAATTATTAAACTATTGGAATAATTTTAAAAAAATACGGCCAATGGGGGGGTTTAAACCCCCATGAACCCCTCCCCTGTGAGTACGTCACTGCATATAACTGAAAGTTATATATTAGTCTTATTATTACATAATTGTTATACACAAATTGGTTTTTTGAGTAACCTCTTTTTATAATTAAGCAATGCATTTTTTCAAATTTTGATTTTTAGATAACATAATTATATAATAAAAGCTTATGTTCCTGAATAAATCGATTTTCTGTGCCTCTTTAGGGTGATCCTGTAGCAATATCAATGTCTGTTTTTCATAGTAGAATACAATTTTTTTTAAACAAATAACTACTTTGGAATTTTTGATATAACATAGTCAACAGTTAATACTTCTGGAATTACTCGAACTTCAAACTGCATTTGATAAGTATGAAATAACGAGAATATTGACATTTATAGCATAGAAAATGAGAAAACCGCATTTTTCGAAAAACAAAATTTGTTATTTCCATAAGACTTAAGAGATACGAAAACATCTTTATACTGGAAAATATAGTTTTATAGTGAATATACATTTTCAATAAATCGGAATTTGAATACAGTGTGTGCTATGAAATGATAATGAAAATTCAAGTTATTTAGTTTGCGTTTTCTCGTTAGCGACTTTCATCTAATATACGACATAGGATATATAAATATCGAACGTAGAACTGAATTCACGGCTGTGCACGTTTACTCGCTAAAGCTTCGCTTAACAATATTATGAGCGGGCATGATTTATGTGAATTACAGAGCTATCATTTTAACGTTAATCGATCGTTATTGGGTTTACTGGACCGGTAAGCTAGTTTATGATTTTTTAATATTATTATAAGTCATCAAGACACGAAGGTTTTGCATAATTATAATTATGGTTTTAATTAATTTTCATCGTATCACTGACACCTTAGATGTTTTTACTTCAATGTTTCAAGAAAAACTTGACATTTTTTGGGTTTTTGTAAAAAACGATAATGGGATATTTAGACCTTATGTTACGCTAGTCGTATTTATTATACTGAGTCAGACACTAGTGAACCAAGTCGACGATTCTGAGCTTAAGTTGTAAAAATATCCGCATAAACACGTATTAATATTATTATAAAATCACTTTATAATATGACAAACCACATTTGCGGATGAAAGTGTTTATAAATCTTCAATGGATATGAAATCAATAGACTAGTATTTCGAACCTATGGCTATAAATAAAAATGAAATCGGACGGGTCAAATCTTTTGAATTTATAACACTAAACCGAGAATCGTTTGTATCTGGTGTGCAGTTTTCAAGTCATAAAACACAAAACTACTCGTTTTATACATATACGTAAATATATATATATATATATATATACCGATTGCGGAAAATATTTAATATAATGTGTTTCCATTCTATTCTTGTGGGAAAAACTGTTTTAGAAAAATTGAAAAATTACACGGACCGTCCGCATCGGTTGGTGATCGATTGTCTATGTGCAGCTTCGAATTGAAAAAAACGGCCACACGATACTTTTGGATTGCTGGGCGTGTGTGTTTCCCGTACGTTTCGAAGTGCACAGGACGAGAAAAACGTTAATCTAACCAGCCGATAAATATAATGACGACGGCGTAGCGGGTACGTGTGCTTGTGACCGAATGTATTACATTAAAAAATACTTAACAAACGAGCCGTTATCGAACTGCTGCAACGCATGTTGTCGTAGGCGACGCGTAATAGGCGTGAGCAGACCTGTACTGCAGGAAGTGCCTACAATACGTTCGGGACCTATTTAAACAAAACGTGTTGCTACATTTAACAATATATAACGTATAAACAATTAAATAAACTTAAATTTAATATTTTTGTTTGATATTGTGATATATTAGTCCCGATGAACATGTTTGCAATGAATCCCGTATATTTTTCTCAGATAACTTAAATTTTTTTTTACGAACTGAACTTTTTTAGTCGATTGTATCTGTTATATTATCATGATAAGTTTATGCACGAAAATGTAGAACATTTTGTTTTATTTTTTTCATTACAAAATGTCATTGATTATTTTTTTACCAAATATTCTACAACAAATTACTTTAATTTAAGCAACATCAATTTATATATATTTCTCTTTAACTTAAATTTAAGAATCCTATTTACAACGTTTCGGGAGGTGTCAAGGCACATCCAGGGCCCCCGCCTATGGATAACGTTATTGTATTACGAGTTAACGCGTTGAATCGCAAAGCGCAACATCGTTGTTCTGAACACGAAAACCCCGTGCGTGTGACGACAAGCGAATATCAACGCGTGCGAATTCGCATGTCGTGCTGTGCATATCGAAATATAATTTTAATATTGTTCACCGTATCCGTATATGTACGATATTCCGTAATGTATATGTAATACGTGTGTAGGCATTTCCACGGTTTTTCGATGAAAAACGTTAATAAACAGTTATACATGAGCACACACTCCCAGGCGACAGCACACGAATAAGTTTCATAGCAAATTTTTATTACGGTGACTACTGCGCCGTTGTCGTGAGCTCTCGAAACGAAACCTTACAACGCCTCGTGTAAAACGTATACCGTACAATATTCCAAGGTATTTAGATTGAGGCAAGGGCACCATTATTATTTATTTATTTTATTTTTGCACAGCATTCGTTAAATATTTATCAAATTCAATTTTTATATTTAACTTTTTTTTTTTAAATTACGAAGCATTGTACTTGCAGTGAGTACAGCTGATTGGTTAGTTAATTGCTCATAAGTATTTATGGTTTCAATTAACTCATTCTACAGTTTGATACGGATCTAGCTAAATTATAATTAAAAATGCACATTACTAAAATTTTATTTAAGATTTAAATTAAACTATTTAAATAATAAAAAGTACCTGTACATCTACAGGAGGTACGCGTTAATTATTCGAATAAAGAAATATTTTATTTAAGA